ATGAAACGCGAGTGTACCAGTCAAAACATCAACACACGTAACGCGAGTGTAGCAGTCAAAACATCAACACAGGTACCGCGAGTGTACGCATTGACCCTCCTGACCTGGCAAAATATCAACACACATGACGCAAGTGTGCCAGTCAAATTATCAACACGCATAGCGCGAGTGTACCTGTCAAAACACCAACATATGTAACGCTAGTGTACCTATCAAAAAATCAACACAGGTAACACTAGTGAACCTGTCCAGTCAAATCATCAACACAGGTAACGCGAGTGTACCAGTCAAATCATCAACACATGTAACGCGAGTGTACCAGTCAAAGTATTAACACACATAACTCAAGTGTACCAGTCAAATCATCAACACATGGAACGCGAGTGTACCTGTAAAAGTATCAACATATGGAACGCGAGTGTAGCAGTCAAAGTATCAACATACATAACGCGAATGTACCAGTCAAATCATCAATACATGTAACCATTGTATACTAGTTAAGACATCGTCACATCGAATAATAGAGCTTACCATAATGATATCTATTTTTCTACGTTATACAAGCACCAATGTTGTTCGTACTGTTCAAGAGCTAATTTCGTTTTGCGGGTTTTCGCATATTTATTAGTTGAATTTCCTTAGCTATTCTCTTTGAAATCAGTATAAAACGTACCTAAACAAACCTTTTTATTAACAATCAATTTTTGAACAAAATTTCCAAAATTCAAAAACAAATCAAATCAAGAGACAAGATATTAAAATAGCATAACCACATTAGTATCCCTTTATCAAAAAACTTAAATCTCGGCCTTAACATTGATAATCCAGCATAAGGTATTACCAGTTTAAAAAATGTACCATTAGGTTTTTTGCTCACGAATAGTTGTTAAATTATTATATTTTGAAAAGTGCATACAGCACATTGTTATATCAGGATTTTAAATAGACGGACTTTATCATCTTTAACATGCAGAATTGAATAATACAAGTTATCCATAGCAGGAAACATAAAAAAAAGATATGATATCTGACATAAATATGCGCATTTTTTCTGGTCAATTGATACTTAATAAAGAATAACAATCACATTCTCATTAATATGTGCAAGTGTTTGTTTACACTGTATTGACACCATATCAATTATTTAAACGTTGCTGATTTAATTCTCCACGAATACTTAATCAAGTCGGTCTAATTTTTATTTCATCAAACAAGTGTATCGATTAAATGACAAAATTGATATCAACTATGCTGATACCTTTGCAGAATTTGGGGGAAATAATCATGAACAAGAAATTAACAAAATGGTAGGAAACATATTTATATGATGTATACTATAAAACAAATCAATACAAATAAATATATTATAATTTTAATTTTAAAAGGAATAAAAACTTATGCACTGAACTATTCCCTTCTTCTCCAAGATTAAATAATATTGTATCGGTAATACAGCCTCATTACACTGCCTGAGCAAATCTACTCAACCTGATTACGTCATCAACTTACGATCAGTGCATCATTAATCAGTAGGATTGTTTCTATCGTAAATAAAAGTGTGGTAGGAAAGAGAAATAACACGTTGTCTTTTTATGTTACATTCAGTTCGACTAAACCAAACGTTGAATATAAAGTCCATTTATGAAGAATTCATATAAACAAAAGAGTGGCGATATTTTAACATGAAACTTGTATTACTAAGGTTGTTAATTACATTGTTGTGATTCATGAATAGAAAATCAAGAAAAAAACTCTGACAATTAAAAGTCGACATATCACTAAAATGATATGGCGAATAACAAGTGGAGTATTAATATCTAATTTCGAATAACAAAGTAAGTATAGGACGGATATGTATTACGGTGTTTTAAAATATCTGAAATATTTTATAATGAGGTCGAATTAATGCATTATTATAATGCAATCAAAACTGAACCTACTTAAAAGGATTTGTTGTCTCTTATCACAATCCTTCATACGATATATCTAGGTATAATATATGGTTCTTAATAAACGTCCTAAAATTAACCTAAACTTGATTTATATGTATCAGTTTTATATAATTCCATCTCTGCTTTCTTGAAAATGCTTTCGATTACTCCATCAAAACAATCATCTTCATTTTTTTATTTTTTTTTAATCGATATCGATGTCCCCAATAAACACAACGGTTACATTCTTTCGGAGTGAAAATAAACTTAACTATAACTATAACTATATATGATTTTAAAGAGTTGGGTTTTCATGATAAACCAAAACTGGAATTGTTGATTTTGTTTAAACAATTATCTTAAAACAGAAGCACAAAAGAAAGGAAAATTCGTGTTTCGAGTGAGGAAATTACCTTGTTTTTTATTATTTTTATTTTTAACGAACATCACGAATAAAAAAATATTCATATCTTAAAAGTCCGTATTCAAACTAGGTGATTTTGCTATCGCTTTTGAGTGTATTCATGTTGATCTATTCGTTCATACCGCGTTATCATTTTGAACATAATTAAAAAGGAAATCATCAAAGTAATTAAACAGCAAAGGAATATATTCTTAGTAGGACTTAATATGTCTCTTCCTATTATTATTTGTTCAGTTATATTAAGCTGTTTCGATCAGAAAATTTATGATGAATCTTATTCAAAAATATATAAGATATCAATCTTTGATAAAACCAAACGGTACATATTGACGCAGTTTATTGACGACAGTATCAGTTAATGGTTACGGGTATACATTGGACCGTGACCACAGGGTAGAAGTCACCAGTCCATAACTTTAAACGGCCATAAACTATATATATATAAACCGCAGTAGACATTATATCTTTAAAGGTCATTCTTATATTTCGGTTATTCTAAAACTCAATACATAGCTGCCCGATACAACTGGTTGTCAGTTATATTTTGGTTTTCCTAATAACCATTATAATATCTTTCGGATTAAGACATATAGAAGTTGTTATATTTATTAGATGAGATGTGCAAGATGATCGTTACTTGAAGACAGTATTTAGACGGTATAATTAGTGGATGATTACTTTTCAATGTTTACAAGATGATCGTTACTTGAAGACAGTATTTAGACGGTATAATTAGTCGATGATTACTTTTCAATATTTACTAGATGAAATGAGTAGATGACAGTCGTTAGATGATAGTTATCAGGAGATAGATATGTGATGATATAATCTGTCTATAGTGGCTAAATAATATGTCATATTATGCTATATAAAAAAGGATTCTTGTATCGGGGTTATTTGGATTAGAACATATTCACTTGCAACTCCGATTCTTGTGAGGATTTTCTTATTTTTACAAATTAAAAACAGGACAGACGTCCGCAACACGGATATGTATTAGAAATATGGGTTTGTTCTATAAGTTAATGATTGTCTGATATATAAATGCTAATAAATATAGACATATAATAGTTGCAAATACCAACGGATGTTTTCATGTCGAAGCAGTAGATGTAAACGGGCACAAACTATCGTGTTTTCAGAAACTCAACAAAACCTTGACTGCCTTTTTTAAACAAAAAATATCTTTCTCATTTGAAAAGGCTGCCCTCGCATCTTGCTCATAATAAATATGTTTATCGCCTGTTCAATAATTAATTTTCATACGCATTTACACAATAATTATTCATGCATGTTTGTCGCGCTGCATTCCACATGTTCCATGTTATGTAACGCTGAACATTTCGGAGGTAAGCATTTTTTACCAACCTATCCATATTATTATTTTAATGTTCCCTGTGACTATACACGCAGTATCTAACATCTTAAAGATTATTAATTCGAAGCCAATGCTAGCATACGGCAGGCACTAACACTTGTTTCTTTTTCTTTTTCTTTTTTTTCTCCAATTTTACAGTTTTGTGTGTGAATTCCTACATTTGCCACCCTTAATAACTTCAAAGCAGTTAACTTAAATAACCATAATCATGCAGCACGTTTTTATCTGATGTGATTTGTACACTAGGGACTGCTGCGCCTCGTAATTAAACTCCCGGTGATTTGTTACACCTGAGTAAAGTCAGCTTTAAGTTTGGTACCTAAGATGCACCCAATCGTTACGCACAGGAGGTATTCGTCGTGATTTTCTTAAGGTGTTTGCTCAACAATGAAAAATAGTGACAGATGAGAAATATGCTCCTTAGGAAATTAAAGTGATATCTTTAAGAAATGCTTGAACATAAGCAGATTGAATTAAAAAAGTAATGGACTTAACATAGGAATTATTTCCAATAAAAAACAAAATCAAGTTAAATAAGTCTTGACTATATTATGATAAAAGAATGATATAACTGTAATCTCATCAAATCTATTTCCAGAACACAATCTATTAAAAAATACTTTCCGTAAAAATGACTATTGTATATATTATAATTCTTATATCGTCGATATTCCTATTTCATATGCAGTATATCATACCGTTCGTATAACTAACATAAATAAGCTTGTTACATTTTTTTAAAATACGGCATAGATAAATGTTGACTGCATAAGTATGTCTTAAAAGGTATTGACGTATGAAATATTTTCAAGACGATCTTGCATTTTATTAAAATAAACAAAAATGATATTTTCAAACTACATTGTAAATTAATTACTTAGAATCTTTTATAAATAATAATATATACAAACACCAGGTCTAGAATTATTGTCAATGTAGACTCTATCACTGGACTACAAAAAAAGATAAAACAACGAATAACAATATAGAACATCATTATAAAAAGATGAAAACGAAAACATACACAAATTTCTTACTTGTAGGTGGTACAGATAATTTGATGTAAGTTACATTTTCAGTTGTAAATAATGATATATGGTTATGCTAATGGCATATTAATTTAAAGCTAGCTTGTACCTCGTACACGTTATGATAATAATATATTAGTTGAATGTAAATGAGCCTAACATTATTTTTACAACATTACGTGTAATGTTTTGTTAGTACAATACAAATTAACACAAGCATTACAACATGTAAAACTTACTTCTGAAAGTCTGTGATGTGTTCTATAGAGGGGTAAAAGTTGGGTTGTAGTGTTGACACGTCCATTGTGCAGTGTGTGTTCCTCACAGACAGATCCAGCTAGTTTAAAACTCTTAACATAGCCATACTGTATTTTTATAAATTTATATTTAATAGAACTATACCTTAACCAATCACGAACGTGTGATGCTAACCATGATCTAAGGCAGCCATAGCCGCGCATGCGTGGGGAATTATCAATCAATTTTCTGCTCATTAAATCTTTCCAGTTGCTCACAACGACTCCTTGTGTTGACAATGGTGTCGGTGTATCAGTAGCATAGCCTGTCTGAGGCGGGTTTAAAGGCTGATTAAATATGCATGGCTATGACGAGAGGAAACGAGTGCCGCGCGCGACGGAACCGGGACGGCTTCTCGATCATTGACGGACCTCAGCGCGTGCGGTTAAGATGAAACTTTAATGACAATGGTTAATAAAAGAAAGGACATGAAGTAAATTCTAACCGTGATTAGCATGATGGTTTTATTTAATTACTGTGTAATTATATATTATGTTTCACTTTAATAGAGAGCACACTGCAACAAAACGAGTTGAAAGTCACCCGTACAGTGGCATTGTCAATACAAATAGCTTAACACATTTGTAAGTGAGAGGTGATTGCTACGTGAATTGAATATAACAAAACTCAAAGCGACATCAGAGTATCGATAACAACTAACGAGAAAATTCAAACTCAGTGGGTTAGTTCAATAGTTACACTTTATACAACAACTTTCTGAACGTATTCGAGAGCTCGTCAAGGAAAGGTTATGTGGACTAAAGCGCTTGTATGGTAAGTAAAATATCAAAATTCAAGATAAAGTGTGTATGTGATTTTTATTTAAATTTGAAATATGTATAAAAAAAAAAACAGATCCCTGCACGCAAATCCCCCTACCTGCCTCTCTCAGTTGGCTCAAACTAACGAAGGTGCGTCTAAAGGTACAAATGGACAAACAATATACACATTTTCAATTATCTTAGAGTAGTTTTTGCATGTATATATCGTCAACGGGAAATATAATGACATATTATTTATTTTGAATAAGCATCACATTGCTTCCTATAAATAGGATAAATCAGTGTTCCCTGTCATTCATCTGGGGCAAGTAAGGACATCATTTCATGGTATAGAAGTAGGCAGACAGTGAGACTGAACCTGTGTACGTGATTAGGTGATTTCTAGTTGATTAACACTCGAATGTGTGTGTCGAGAGGGCCATTGTGTTCATAGGATAGAGTAACATGAACAGCATTTGCGGTTAAAAACAGATGTTTCGTATGAAATGTGCATCACATGGATAATGCCGGGAATTTATTGAAATGTCAACCTTGGCGAACGCGATGACCCGTCAAAGATAACGATCTACGTCACTGACGGTTGATCGATTACAAACGAAACGAATAAATTGTTGTTTTTATGCAGATTAACATATAATTATATCGATGCCCTGTTCACACGTTTTAACGCACTGTTCTGATATAATAAATATTACAGGTTCCTAACTTTTAAACGGGTTCATTCTTTCAATTTGAAAAGGTTTTTGGGTGTTTTTTTTGTATCAATATAAATAGTTATTGAATGATGCTTAATCTTATGTATATAGCTTTTTTCTGAGCACCAAAGATCCAGCATAATATTGCGAATGATATAAGTAATTTATATATTTTATTTAAAGAATTGAAGAAGGCCATTTGTAAAACTACAACAGGTATACACAAACCACAAAGCGAACGATAACAATAAGATGGTAAATTAAATCGCCTTCTGGACGTGAAGCTGTCACTTTCTCTAAAGTACTCAAATCAAACAAATAGTCAGATACGGAGCATATGCTACAGTGAATCGTGCAGGTTCTCTGCTGTTAAAGGTCATAAGCGACCATATGTGAACAGACTTTAATAAATACTGTAGTATTATGATGGGGTTTTCTTTCCGCTTTCCACTGTATCGTAATAAAGGTACCATTTAGGACTACTGTTGTACTAACTTGTTTCCTGATATTGGTCTAAAATGTATTAAGTACAGGTTTTTATGATAACATTTGATTATCATTCATATGTATGGACACACTGTAAGCTGCAAAATGCAAATAAGATCATAATCTATATTGTTTGTGCTTTTTGCTTAAATTGATACAACTTTTCTGATAAAATAAATTATAAATGGTATTAAAAAACAAAAACAACCATAAAGATATATGACTTGATTATATCGAGTACTTTAAAGAACAGAAGTATGAAAAATTACGCAGATCTATATGTTATTATGAATTATCCCTTCTGTAGGCTCTGTGGTATTGCATTATAAATCCTATTAGCTACTGATGGCTCCAATAAATAAGTTGATTTAACCGCTACATGCTCTGCTGATCCTGAACGGAGGAGCGTCATTTGTACCTGATTAATTGATATCGAAACATAGGTCATTTGTCCACTTGTCGCAAATGAGTTATGCTTATTGCTTTGCAATCTCACAACGATACTCTCCTCATCTATTTAATCATTCTATGTTTGGTGTGTTGTCTGTCTTTGGTGTGTTGCTTGTTATTAATGTTAACCATGTCTTTTTTTTTGTATATTTGTGCATAATGAAATATTACCTTACATAATTACATGAGTATGTGAATGCGTGTATTATATTATGAAGTCTGTCATTTCCTTTTGTTCCTTACGTGGATCTAGTTATTCATCCGATTTACACTTACATATAGATCATGTTGTACGAACTCTTTAAATATAACATTTATATTGGTAATTACTATATATTTAACGAATTATTCTCACACAAAAATATTATTCTGATTAGTTGAAACTTTATTTTATTATCGGTATAATATTCCAGATATACAAACATGATATACATATAGGATTCGAAAACAAGTACAAAGTACTTATGAATAAATATAGATAAGATATAGTGTATATATATATAGGTAAGATATGTTGTATATTATTACATGGAAGAAAAGAGGACGAGGAGGAAGGAGAGAAAGAGGTGCAAAAGGGTTTAAAGAAAAGGTTGTTGGGGTAAGGTATATAGCGGAGAAAATTGACTGCATTTTGGGAGGGAAACCGGCAGAAGTATATTTTGTAAATGGGCACATGTCGATGACTGTACATGCCAATGAGGTATTCAACACATAATGAATAAATTGCATATAATGAAAACTTTCCATTCCGACCCCTGAGTATTCCGACATCCAGTGGTGTACAACAATCAAAGAAAGATCTTCAAACTTAAAATCGTTTCGACGGGTTGATGAAATATTGAACACAATCGAAGATGTTCTCATTATATTTAACTGGCATATCAGGATTTTCGTACAGTAGAAGGTTTACGTGATAGTCGGGAGGAAGGCTTCTGAAGCATTGTACTCTTATTTGTTGGTATTTCGAACAGAAGAGGAGGAAGTGTTCGGTAGTTTCAGCAGACTGATTACAAGTACACACAGGACTATCATCTAGGTTTCGTATATATAAATGACAAAAGAGAGAACTAAGGTTCATCCTTAATCGTGCATGATTGATTTGGTCGAATTTACTTCTGCAGTAGTAATAATAAGGCGGAACAAGATGGCTTTCACCATTCAAAAAATATTTGAGATTAGTAATCGACGGGTTGGGCTTTATATTATCGGGAAGTATATTCCATAGGTCAATAGAGGAGGGTAAGAAGGACTCCGTGTGAAGCTTGGTTCTACAGTTAATTTGACAGTAATTATTTGCGTTTCTAGTAATACGAGGGAGTAAATCAGAATGCCGAGCAGGAAGTATATGTTAGTTAAATAGGAGGGGCACATACCATGGACAACCTTATGGAATTGTATGATTTTATGTTTTCTTCTTTGAACAGAAAGAGGATCCCAGCCAGATTCTAAATAAATTCGGTCATGACTAGTTAGTTTAGTGGCCCCAGTAACAATTATGGCTGCTTCAAGCTGTATATTTTCTAATAATTGACTTTGCCCAATCGTTATGTTGTCCCATATTACATCACCATATCCTAAAAGGGGTCGTAGAAAAGTAAAATACATTTTTTGGAAAGTCATTCTGTCAATACTGAATTCGAATTCCTAAGAATACCAAGTTTCTTGGATGCTTTGCTGATTATATATTGCACATCCGGCAAATCCACTACAACGTAAAGGGAGGTGTCATCGGCAAATAATTTTATAATACAATTGATATTTTTGACAATGCCGTTAATGAAAATTAAAAACAACAATGGACCTAAAATTGACCCCTGGGGAACCCCGGCTGTAGTAGATGCTAAATCAGACTGTTTACCATTGGTAACAACTCGTTGAGAGCGATAATGTAAATACTTGTTATGTCAAAGTTTCCGAGTTTAGAAAGAAGACCTCGATGCCATACTAGGTCGAACGCTTTGCTAATGTCACAGAAAACAATTCTTATTTCGTTACCTTTATCTATAGCAGAATAGATGTCGTTAGAAATAGATATAAGTTGGTTTGTAGTGGAATCGCCGGATCTAAAACCAGACTGACAAGGAGACAATAGCGACTTGTCAATTAAATAATTGTAAACATATTTAGTTAAACACCTTTCCATCATTTTGCCAATAATAGAAAATAAAGATATGGGACGGTAGTTGTTTAGGATGGATGAGTCGTCTTTTTTAAACACAGGTGTGACGTTAGCCCTCTTCCATAGAGACAGGGACATGCAGTCAGTAAGGGAGTATGAAGAGGATAACTACGAGTACCAGCTGCTTCATTGACGAGGATTTATAAGATCAGGACCGGCGGCTTTCTTGTAGTCAAGATAATGCATAGCATCAAGAACGTCTTGACAAGATATAACAATGTCAGAGAGGATATGAGTGTTGGGCTTTTGTAAATAAGGGGGGTCAATATTTGAGTCATCTATGGTAACTTGCGATCTAAAATATATGTTGAAGGCATTGGGTTTTTTCTTGATCGTCGTGTATCATGTCATTATTAATTAGAATAGGAGGTATTTCGCTTTTTCTACTAGAGTTAGACATAACGTGATTAACAATTATCCACTATTCCTTAGCACTTAT